TGCTAAATTGTTATTTGTCGGTTGCTTCCCAAGATTAACACAACACCCAAATTCAAGCGTGCACTCGCCGGAAAACGGGTTGGAATCAGCTCAAAATAAAATAGATGAGAGAAGATCGGAGAAAATAAGTAAAGGAAGATGTTGAGGAAATTTTTTGTGTGTCTTACAAATGAAAGAATGAGAGGTATATATATGAGTTGAGAAGTGAAACAGTTTTTGTAAACATTAATAAAATAAATAAAAACATTTTTTAAATAATAAAGGAAAACGTTAAAACCCGTTTTGTTCTTTAATACCGCCTCTAATGTTAAAAAACGTTTCAAACTTTCAACAAGTAAAATATGGGCCTGATAAAAATTAGAGATAATATCTTGGGAGAGCTATTTTTAATTCTTAATTTCATAAATGTCTTTAGTTTTCTAAATTTACACTTTTAGATTTTTTCATGTAGGATTTTATTCTAATACCGTTTCTACCTTTATTTATTGCTTTTTATTTTATTAWAATTTTAAAATTTAAAAGATTTGAATCCTTAATTTATTATTATATTCATTTAATTATTGTGGGCCCCGTTCAATTATTCAACCTAAATTCCTCAAATCTCTCCCTCAAAAAAGATTTTATTCTCTCACCAATTAAGAACTTCCAAATTTGTGTGCTTTCTTCTCCAACCTTGATTTTTTTCCCCGGCGTCTTCCTTTTTTCGTGCATACCTTCATCAACGTCGACAACATTGAAGTGCATATCGTCTGTGTACTTCTTCAGAGCTTCCATCAACGATCGATTTTTTCCTTCTTCTTTCCGTCGAGATATTCTTCTTTCCGTCGTCAAATAGACTTTCCGTCGATCTCCTTCCACGTTTCTGATGCCGTGCAGCGTGCTCCCGTCAACGAGGTATTTATTCCTTCAATTTCCATCGCCGAATAAACTTTCCGTCGACGTCTTTAAACGTTTCCGACGCCGTTCAGCATGTTCCTCGTCTCCTGTCCCCTTATGTTTTTACCATTGATACTTATTAGTCTTCCGTTAAGATTGGTATATATGGGGGGATATATTTTATGTATGTGTACAGAAAATGGAAGTTCTAAACGTCTCACAGTCTTAGTATTCCTGATTATATTCGTATATATAAGTATATATTGTATATGTGAATATATCTTATATGTGTATACATATATCTTATAGTTCTGTAGTAATGGTCCTCCATACCATTTGTAATTATTAGTCTTCCGTTAATATTGGTATATATAGGGATATATTTTGTCTATGTGTATAGAAAATTGAAGTTCTAAATGTCTCATATTCTTAGTATTCCCGATTATATTCGTATATATAAGTACATATTGTATATGTGTATATATCTTATATGTGTATATATCTTATAGTTGTATACAAGATATAAACGCATATATCCTATGRTAATGTAGAAAGGGTCCTCCAAAACTGAAGTTCTAAACGTCTCATGGATGAAGCGAAAAAAGTTCTTAGATTTCAAATTTGGGAGATTTTTGGACGGGATTTGGAGATATTTTGGGAGGTTATGATTTCAATTTTGGGGAATTTATGGTTTTGTTTTTAATGTTTTGGTGTTTTAATTTGTTTTGGAAAGTATCATTAACCTAAAATTATGGGATCTAAATTATAACCTTCCAATTAATCAATTTTGCATATTAAAATGAATTTAAAATGAATTTGTAAATACAAGAGACTATTTAAGTAATTTATATGATGGGTACCCTCTTAAATAGGGTTGATACATGACAAGTGTAAATTTTATACATTTCATCCTTTTATGTAATTAGGATCTTTAAATAGCTCATCAATGTACTAATCCCTTTATTTTAAGACATAGTGAGCCTTTTATGTTAAAACATAATTTGTAGAGTTAATGTCTTCGCGGAGCTATTTTAAAAACTTATTTTCACAAATATCTAAAGTTTTCTAATATTACACTTTTAGATTTCTGCARGTAGGATTTTTTTATAGTACCGATTTTACCCTTATTTATTGCATTTATATTTTTTATTGTTAAATTTTTTTGTTGAAATCTAAAAGATTTAAATMCCTAAATTGTAGACATGATCTTTTAATTATTGTACATACTAATTTTTTCCTTAATCCCTTAATTCTCKCATTCATATATTAATTGGTACTAGCCTATATTAATTACAAAATCATTATSATGATTTCAATTTCTAAATTAATTAATGTGTAGATTTACCCATGGTTTCGAATTCAAAAATATACCYATGATTTAATAATATTAAAAAGTATAACATCAAAAGTTTTCAGCAGCAACAAAAAACAACAGAACTAGATTGTATCTTGCAATTTGGTATTTAATAATAGATATAAAATATATTCGGATATAATCTTTAATTAGTAAAGTTTCGATCTCATATAAACTTATATAGTGTAGATAAAACATTAACCTATTCTATCAATTTAGACACCCTAGAACATGCTTCATTATTATGAATTGTTCTTATTAACATTCAACCTAACAAATRCAATCCAATACAATTACAAGATAAACCTATAGGATAAATATAAAATATATTCGACTATTGAGTTCCTATAACAATCAAAATGATACTTAGTTGTAGATATATATTATATCCGCATATATAGAATGATTCACACCTAAATTTTGCACCACTCAAATCCGGCAACCCAACGTTAGTGTGGTTCCCTTTGCAAATGACAGCATTCTCTACAAAGATCCATTGACCACCCACGACAAACGAACAAATTCGATGACACAGTGATTTACCATGAATTTGCTATGACCTTTCGGTCGGCGACTAAACAAACCTCAGGATAAACGGAGTGCTCGAACGGTCGACGGGCAACCGAAGACAAAGAAGAAGCTATAACGGTCTGCTCCGACGACGACGAAGAAGCTCGAACGGACGGAAACAATGGTGTTTGTGGAAGGAGAGCAAACAAGACAGGAAGAAGAAACGGYGGAAGGAGGAGGCTTTTTTCGAAAATTTGCAATAATGGAGGAGTTTGGGGATTTGGATAGTATTTTGGGATTTGGTCATTTTTACTTTTGGAAAATCTAATTAGACATAAAATAAAGGATTTTAAACGTAACATTCCAAATAACCAATTTTAAATTTCAAAAAATAATTAATATTTAGGTGTAAACCTAAAAAGATATAATGGTAAATTGGTGATGAGTACTATCTTAAATGAAATAATGTAAATTTTATACCTAGAATCCTTTTATGTAATTATAATATTTAAATAAACTATCAATGTACTAATCCCTAAAATAAATATAACAAAAAACCGGCCAAAACATTTTATTAAATAAATGACCCATAAACACTAAATCATGTGTAAGTCGAYTAAAACAAAAATCTTCAACCTCTCTATGGARTAGTCTGAGAGGGAAGAGAAGAGAAGAGAGTAGAGAAGAGAGAAGAGGTATGTTCTCTATTGTTTTAGAAATCGAATTTTGTTTTCCGCTCTAATTTTCTTTTTTGCTTTCTGTTACGGATGGATAAATTTATAAGTTGTTGATATATCTTTTATGTCTTATTTCAGTCTCATCATCGGGCTCGAGGCCTAAAGGCCGGCCCAAGCCCGATCCAAGGTCAACGTTTGACCGGCCCGGCCCAATCCAACCCTTTTATTAATTTGATTGGATATGGATATTCATTTTTTAATTTGGGCCGGCCCGTGGGTCAGCCCGTTTGAGCCGTATTTGGATTGGCCCGTAAGGCCGGCCCAAAAGCCCGATCCAATATTTATTAATATTTATATTATATAATATTAATATATTCTTTTATTATTTATTTATTATAAAAAATAAATTAGATATGGTAGGCTATAGGATCTTTTGTTTCCCCCCTACTAAATAGGTACATATTACGAAGAGATTCTACCACTCCCCAATATCTCATTTAAATCATTGTTTTGAAACATATTACGAGGAAACTCTCCAACTTCCTAAATTCAAAATTTAAAATTATTTTAAATATATCTAATATTAGGTTGTAATTTTTAAAATTTTTTAATACAAATTTTTTTTATAAATATCAACATTCTTTTCTTTTTCTTCACTCAAATTCTAATTCTAATTGTCATTCTCAAATCCTCTCAATTTCAGTTTCTCTTGTAAAAAGATATAAATTTAATTTTCAAAAATAAAAAATATAATTTTTTAAAATAAGGCAACTTGAATTTATAAAATATGACATAATAAAATTTATTAGTAAGATTATAAAAATAACAAAAAAAATGTACCAAAAATTATATAAAAACACATATTCTAGAATTTAAAAATAAAAAACTTAGTTTGGAAATTATTTAAATTTTAAAATTTAATAATTAAAAATATATTAATATACGAGCCGATCCAAGCTCGATCCAAAGGGCCGATCCAAGCTTGATCCAACTTTRGCTCAACAACTTAGGCCCATGGATTGAGCTATGAGCCTAGGTTTGAGTGGTTGGGCCGGCCCAAACAATATTTGAGGCCCATAGGGCTTGGGCCTGGACCAAGCTTGGGYCGGGCCCGGCCCAGCCCAATGATGAGGCTGAGTCTTATTTAATCCATTTTGATTATGTGAATATGTTTAACATATTTATGTCTTATTTAATCTATTATATGGATCGCCTCTTCATAAGTTATGGTGGTTAGTGGAACGAGGCACTAACGATTTCCATTCTGACTGGGTTTCCTATATGGGATAAACACGTCACATTGGCMGAGTAGTGATTTGATGAAGGAATTTTTGGTACCATATCCTTTTATGAACCTGAACTAAATGAGACGTTGGTCAAACATAAAAACATGCCAACATAAACAAACAGATGTAAAAATATTATGTCGAGAAATTTTGGACATAACGAAGGTAAGTTTTCAAACGGGTGACAAACTTGAGTCCAAATTTACTAATTTACAAACTACTATTTTTTTCCTTTGGGCCCAAAATTCTTTGGGTCGTCAATGAACCCAAAGATTCTTCAATATGTTGACCACTGATTCAAATTCTATGGCCATTCTTCTCCCTCCCGTACCTGCATTTTCTCCACTGAAGATAAACCAGAAGCGACTGTGATTATGGGAACTACAGAATCAAAGAGATGATTCGCTGTTTTCATATCAAATTTTTCGTTGTTTACTGAATTTCACCCAGCATTTGGGAATCCGATTACGTTTCCTGCAATCATGCCACTCACTTCCACCTTGTTACATTCATTCTCAAATCCCAAATGTCCAATTTCTTCTTCTTCTTCTTCCTCGCCGCCGAGGTCTAGAGACTTCGCCGCTCCTTCTAAAGYTCCTCCCGGAATCAGATTCCGGAGAATTATCGGCGCCGGTCTGGTTTTGGACTCGAAATCCATGGTGGTTTTGCTCGGCACGGGCTTCACGCTGGCCCTTCTGGGACCTGAATCGGCTTCAGCTGCGGCGGAATTGCAGGCGTTGGGTGCTTCTTCGTTGCAATTTAATGAGCCCCAGAATGCTCTCTCGTTGCCCACCTGGGCCATTCATGTTTCCAGCGTTGTTGAGTGGTGAGGATTTATGCATCTTCTTCTGTTCTATGTTGGTTTCCTCAGCTGTAATTCGTTTAATATTTTTCACAATTCGTTGAAATTGAACTTCACATTTAGTTATTTTCAATGAAGTAGTACTCATGAAGGGATTAAAAGATACACCATAGTTGTCATCTTCAATTGCACATTTCCAACATGAATGTAAGAATTGATATATCMTATGTTTTGAGGTAATGCCAGTATTTAATGTTAAAACTATGCATAATATCAGAGAAATGTAGACTTTCGGGAATATAATTGATATCTACATCCTTGAATAAGTTTGTTAAATTATCGACACCTGATAGATTTAGGCATACATGATCTTTTGTGTATAAGGATTACAGCAATGGCTTTGGTGTGGCAATATGGAGAGAAATCTGGCAATGAGGCCTGGAAGGGACTTTCCTGGGGCATGGTCAGTTCTACTTCTCTGTTGATATTTTCTTTCTCCTCTATCTTACAGATTGGACTTTCTTTTTCTTTCAATGCTTTATTTAGAAAAGGAAAAGTGAGTCTGAATGAATTGTTATTTCTTTATTTGCTCTCTAGTTGTTATAATTCTTTGAAAAGACAGAGAAGAAGAAGAGGAAATGAGTGTTTAGATTAGCCTAAGCTGATATTACTAAACATTTTAAATGAAACCACCACACTCTAGCATAGCACAAAAGTAACATTGGATTCGATGTATCCTCAATGTCTCGGATGGATCATTGAATTTGTGGCTGTTTCATTTTATCAAAGAAAATTGTTGCTTAACTTGTGCAGGTGCCATTGCTAGGTGGAGCATTTTGTGCTTGTACATGGCATTTTTTCTACAATTCCGAATCTCTCGAGGTATACCAAGTTTCTGTTTTCGCATAACCTTGCTGGATGCTGAAATCTCTGTAAACGTTCACATATTCTACTTGATCGTGATGATTTGCTAAAGCTTTAAAAGTATTAGAATGTACACCTAGCTAAACTAAAAGTGTTTTCTATCATTAATATATTAGCTTCTTTCAGTTATTCTCATCGTGTAAATCTTGGAACATCTCAATATGGTTGATTAGACTCCCCAAATGTAGTCCTGAAACGATCCATGGATACGAAAACGTTGTCTCTAAAATGCTCAATTCAGTTCAAGTCTTCATTTACCCCTTCTAAATTTTCACTCCAATCACCCATCACAAAAATCCATCGTCATTTTAAGTCCTCAGTTCTAACTTTGAGTCTTTGAGCTCTGAGACCATAAGGAGAATCTACTCCTTTCTGCCTTTTCTGTTATTAGTCAAGATTCCGAGGGCCCATTTTATATCTTCAAAATTTGTTCATGGAGCCTTGTTCTTTTGATTGGTTCCTTCATTCCAGTATCACTTCCAGTCAAGTATTGGAGCTGGCATGAAATTCCTTAGATTATGAAGTTCTCATGGTGCACTTGGTTTAAACTGTTCTTTGTATCTAAGAAGGTAGTTGTGCATGGGGTCGTGGCCTAGATAATGCTGCAAACTAGTTTTGTGATAACTCGTGCAATATTGGAAACTTCATAATTATTTTTCAAGTGCTCCCTTTTCTTGAATTACAGCATCATGATACATTCTTGCTTGTTATCTGAATCTGTTAATATCTGCTAGAAGGCAGTAGTTTTATGCATCAAATAAATGAGAGACGTCGGATTTCTATTCGAAGTGAAAACAGTTTGATGAATGGATTTCTTGGTTTTGGTTCAGCTGTTTTAATTTTTGTTAAATACCAATTGTTTAGATGGTTATTGTTTCTGAAGAATGAATAGAAGTGAAGCAAATCACCAACCGAAATATTTTACTCTGCAACCTCATTTCTCTTCCTCCASTTCAATTCACTCTTTCATATGTTTCTTTCAATTTACTTCCAAATTCCAAAATACCCATTTGTTGTACTACCACGTCAGTGTATTCCTTTTGTTACATATGATTATGAGCAGCTTGGGGTCCAGAATTGACCAGAAAAATGTAAGGAAGAAGAGGTGGAAACAACAAAGATAAACCGATCCAAATCGACCTCTCTCTCTCTCTCTCTCTCTCATAGGATTCAGATTCTATTGGTGCAGTTTCAAAAGAACAAGAGCAATGTTACCATGAAAAAGTATGAAGAAACTGATCCAAGCCCATCTCTCTCCATATGCTAGGCCCCATATTAGTTTTCCTTGACCTGGATTGCTCTCACACCTATAGTGTTCGTGATTGGGTACTCAATTGTGTATTGATCGAAAGGCGGGCAGCATAGCCCCAACCAAGGGAGTGGTTATATCTAGTACGTGCCCCTTATTCTCGACATGCTGAGTTTAGAGCCTGTTGCTGCAGTTTCAAAATGACAAGAGCAACCTTGAAAAGAATATAGAATGTCCTGCCCCTCTCTCCCCCTCCCTCTCCAACTCGATAAAATTTCGAGGACATTGACATTGCATACGATTTGTTCGTCGGGAAAGTTGGTTTGATTAGTGCAGTTTCAAAAGAAAAAGAGCATCCACAGTCGGAAAACTAATATAGAATGACTTGGATTTACTGTTTGAGTGCAGGTTCTGGTGGCCCTTCAAGCAATACTGACGGCCGTAGGGAATGCCACAATGTGTATTGCTGCATTTCGCATATACAAATCACAAGAACGTTCAAGGAACTTGTAAAAACAGGAAGAAAAAAARTAATAAATAATCACTATATTAATATGTACCACTACACCCTGTTTTATTATATTATCATCATTTTCCATATATTAGTATTTGTTTTGGTRACGTTTTTTTTCCTTTATTTTCTTCTAACTTTCAAAAAATACCATGCAACGGGAGAAGTAGACTAAATTTATAATTAATTTTTTTTTAAAGAAAATTATAATTTAACTTATTATATATCATAAGACTAATAAATTTGCATTCAACCCACTGAGAGATTTTCTTTTCTTCAATCCACCCTCTAACTGAATATCATCAAAATAGATCATATGTGATTTTAACATATTTATAAAAGATTAAATTTATCGTAATTTATTTGTTAAACTTTTGGGTTGATTAGTGGAGAGTGTTGCAGYATCTATAAAAGATTAAATTTATTGTAATTCATAAACTTTTAAGYTTTTGGGTTGATTAGTTATCTTACGTCTAGTCTTACACAAGGTTTCAAATATTGATGTTGATGTAAATATTGGAGTATTAGTTTCATGAAAAMATCAATAAAATTTTGATGTCTATAGATATTTTTAGAAATGTTATAAAAACAAAAAATTTGTAAGAAATRTCTAAATTAATAAATATTCATTTCACCATTTCTAAATAAGTTAAAAATTATTAATATAAATATTACATCCAAATTATTTATATTTTGTTGATATTTTCATATTTTATCTTTTTTTTTTTCCTTTTTTGCAATACTATGGAAATATCGATCTATCCCTCATGTTGATGTCGAACTACAAACACATGGAAATGTCGATGGAAATATTGACATGCGGACAGGAATTTAATACCCTGATCATACTTGCTATTTGATATTAAATGAAATTTGGATCTATCAACGTAGTCTTACTCGTCCCTGCCACCTATTCAAGTGATTATAGTCGATATTTCACCCATTACCATAGAGTTTGGAACAAGTAGCATTTTTTTTATTCTTATTCATTGATGATGATTTTGATCCAACAAAAAGTGAGCAATAACACTATAATTATGATGTTAAGTCTAAGATAGAAGGATTATTTTGTCACATAACTTAACTTAGTTTCAAAGTGACTCAAACCAAATGCAATTGCACACCATCATAGACTTTGAACCTTTTTATTTTCCTTTTTGCCCTTTCAAGTAAATGGTCCTAATGGCCTTAGTTAGCCCAACCACCACACCTACCACCATCAATGTCCATGCCATGTGAGCCCTATAAAAGGGACCTTCTTGCAATTCCTCTTCATTTACTTTTCTCTTTCAACAACTCATTTGTACCTCAATTTTCCCACTTTGGAAATTAATACCATTTGCCAACAACATTCCCTTCTTTAAAGCTTGCATTCTTCTATCATTTTCCCTCTTATCACCATAATTACAAAAGAAAGTGACACGGGTCAGCTGTATGGGTGATGATCAAGTCAAAAAATTGATTCAACCGACCCAATCGACGTTGGTCGGTTGGTCAGTCAGTTTAGTTTATAGCTCGACTGGAGTCGGTTAGTTGGAGTGGCTGGAAAACCCATTTTATATTGAACTAAATATTTAGTTTGTCGTAATCGTAACTACTACTAGTTTACAAATACATTGCTGAATATATCTTGATCAACTTTTTAAATTGAGACAATTTTTAAAATCTGCTATCAAATACCAAAACATGACATATAACTCTAATTTTTCAGATCACCAACTAAATGCACCCTAAATTTATAATTTAATCTTTATATATAATTAACACCCATGATTTTAAATGAGTATGGATAACACTATATTTTAGAAACCCAATAAAGAAAAGGTCACCCATTACAAATTTTCATTGGGTTTTTTTTTTGTCAAAATAAACTTCTTCCCAAGGAGAAAAAAAAAGTAATTAATAGTAAAGAAATGGGGCTTGTCGGTTGAGTCTCCCAATCAAGAAATTATGTTTGAAAAACAGCTCCCTTTATGATTAACAAGAATGTGCACATCCAATTTTCAAAACATCATGCAAAAGGTTCCAAATCATGTTTCTTTTTCTTTTTCTCTCTTTGGTGGAAAAAGAAGAACAGAATTGCGGCTGCTTTAATGTTGATTGAGTATGTGGGTGAGAATCGCCAAAATCAAGAAATTTTATTTTCTTTCCATAGCCTAAGCTCTCTAGTTTTGGAAAGATAAAATGACCAACGTTGATGTCGAAATCCACTCTGCTGATGTGACAAGTGAGCAATTATGTGGATGTTCTCTTCGCGTGCAGATTACGTGCAAAATCGAGTTCAACACTGATGTGGTGTTCTACCTAATAAATTCCAAAGCTTAAGTTAGAACTCAGTTCGAAGGAACCAGAAAGAGAACAAGAAGATATTGTATACTTTTCGTAGGAGAGTTTAACTCTTCATTTTATAGGGGAGCGACCTAGGAGAACGTGCTCCAGAAGACCCTAGCCGTAATGTCAAATAGAGAATTCTTAAGCGACTTTAAGGATACTCTGACACGCGAGATCATACCTCTRCTAAATGTTAGCAGATACCTCGTTGGGCAAACTCTACCCGTGCAAGAGGGACAAACCGAGCTACTTGTTTTGAAATTGATTCATATGACCCAATGTGTATGACTACCACAAACTTATTTTGGGAAATTACCAAAGGTACAACCTTTAAAACTTTACCAACCAACCAAATAGCTATCGTAGAACAAAGGTAGTTAGTTCTTTAAGATGGTTTTGAGTAACAAACTGCCAAACATTCCCTTTATTTCTCTTTAGAACATGATTTTGTTCTTCCTCTCAATCTTGCTAAACCAATCCCTTCATAAAGAGAAAGATTGTGCAACATGTTCTTAAAGGCAAGGCACAAGGACATGGTGTGAACCATTGTGGGACATGGGACCCCAAAGATGGGGCCATGGTGTCCTAAAAAGTCATATTTTGCAACATTTAATGCCATTGGAGAAGCCAAAGTGAAACACCTAATTAAGAGGTATGTATATATATATATTATGTCATACTGTGATTTTTCAATCTTAATGTCTCTATATCCCACAAGATCTTGGTACAAAGATTTTGGGCATATTATGACCCATCTTTCTTGYTAGGTGGGTCTCTACTAAATTTGGGAAGGATTGCACGTAGATTTTCTAAATCTTCTGGATTTCAAAAAATATAGTTATTCTTTCTTGAAATCGATGTTGTATGGCTTACTTGTGATCTTTACGTTGTGATCTTAACTGACAAGAACACAGAACTTGAATTCAAGACTTTATGAATAAGGTTTTTTTTTTAATTACAAAATTAAGGTAATTTTTAGAATAATTCCAAAAGTATGATAAGTTCAAATCTCTCTTTTGCTTTGCACTTTTATTTTTACGGGTTTTTTTTTGTGTAATTCGTAGTTTCTATAAATATTTTAATTTTAAATAAGGAAAATAAATATTTTTTTTTCTTTTACGCAATTTTTTTAATGTAATTCATAATTTTTAAAAATATGTCAAATTTTTTAAGAAGGAAAATAGATCATAGAATTAATCAATGATTCTTACCAAATATGTCAACTTTTAGAAAATAAGAAAAATTTATATTTTTCTTTATGTAATTCGTGGTTTCTATAAATATGTCATTTTTAGAGAAGAAAATAAATCATAGACTTAATTCGTGATTTCTATCAAATATGTCAATTTTTAAAAAAAGGAAAAAAGTTATATATTGGTAAAATATTTAAACCCCAATTAAAAGAAAAAATATATGTTGGCAATTTTGATATCCACAGACATATATTTTTTTCCTTTTCAAAAAATTGACATATTTGTAGGAATGATGAAATAATTATATGATTTATTTTCTTTCTTTCAAAATGGACATATTTATAAGATTCATGTTTTTTTCGGTTGTTATTTTGAGAGTTGCATTATTTAAAATTACACTATTTGTGAAAATGATAGATTTTCAATTTTAGTTTTTGAACGTTTGAAGTTTAAATTTTGGTCCTTCAAATTTTTAGTCATTTTTTGTATAGTCAAACTTATTCTGATTCATTAACTGATATTAATATAAATATAGTAGAGAAAAYGTATACTAACCCAGTTCCACAAAGTTGAACTTTTAGATTTATTCTTTTTTCGACATGAATTATTTACGTGTTGGTCTCTCTCTTTTTTCGATAAAACCTAACGATGACATAGCTTGAATTTGTTACCATTCCAACTCCTTTTAGACTAAGATTGTTCTTTTAGAAAAATGTATATGAATGAAAACWAAAAGGACAAACAAGTAAAAACATGTCCAAATCACAAAAAAGTTTTCAAGATATCCAAATCTAATTTTTACAGATTCTTTGCTTCAAAAAGTATGGTTTCAATAATGCAATTAGTTGCACCTGTCCACCAGTTTTCTACTATTCATTTCTCCAATATTATAATAATAATAATTCCCAAATTAAAACATTAAATCATATTTCATATATAGTTCAATTTTCATTAAATATTTTATTTTAGTTAATAAATTTTCATAGGTTCTATTTAAGTTCCTATTGTTAATTTTTTTTATCAATTATTTAATCTGAATTTAAATTCGTGTAAATATCTAGATTATTAAGTAAATGAACCAAATACTTGCTAACGTGGTTAAATAATTGACAACAAAAAAAAAAAGATTAACGATAAGAATTAAAATATTTTTTTATGCAAAGTTCATTGATTAAAATAGAATAATATTGAAAGTTTAGGAGATGTGTAAACTAAAAGAGGTAGCTGAAATCTTAATTTTCATTTTTTTTCAAAAAATTCTTTAAAGAGAGGTTTTTAAATAATAGCGATGATTTTTACATTATATATGGGAGTATCAAATCTTAAGTTCAATTATGTCACATTATTTTAAYTTATKTGTTTTGAAGTAAGTTGAGAAGATATTCAAGAAATAATTTGAATATCTGAATTAATGAATAACGATTTTGTTTCTAGTTTTATGTTAAAATTATGTTTGTTTTCTCACTATTTATTTGTATGGTATGCTTTCATTTTTTTTTATAAATACATTAAATTCTTAACAAAATTTTAAAAACAAAAATAAGATTTTAAAAAATTGATTTTCA